CCTTGTTAAACTTTAGGCCTTGTCTTTTTGGATATATATCTTTTTATATTAAAAAATAGTCATACAACCCATATATTTTAAATGTATTGTTTGCTTTAAATTACATTAAGATTGTATGTTTGGTAATTGAACCTGAATGAATTTTAAATGAATGTGCTATATTTCAGATCATATATTTGTTTTCCTTAAAATTTGAACTAACACTAACTTTATTCTCATATGGATGATAGATTATTTATTTCTGTATAAAATAAAAACACATTTGATTTTTCTTTTTTAATCAATGTAGAATGTGTAACTGAAAAAATAAACAGATTAGGGCTCTGTTTGATGACAAGAAATGAAAACCAATGCGATATGATGAATGTCCAAAAGATGGCTCCCACAGACTGTTTTTAAATAGGATTGTTTGATATTTTTTGCTTTTAAACTGTGTGTGTGTGTGTGTGTAAGAGATTTTGGTTGGGTGACAGTTGTAGTTTACAGTTTGACAAGAGTTTATAGTTTGACAAAAGCACAATGTTGTGTTTTATTGCGAGTGTACACAAATATAAGTAAACACTTTGCAGTTTGAATAATGTCCTGTATGAACAAAAGGACGGAGTATGTCTTTATGTCTACATTGTTCAATTACGCCACACACACACACACACACACACACACACACACACACACACACACACACACACACACACACACACACACACACAAACACTATTTTTCTAATCAGATCAGGCAAGTAATATTCTGTCTTGTCTCTTAAAAAAACAATATATATATATGTATATATATATATATATATATATATATATATATATATATATATGTGTGTGTGTGTGTGTGTGTGTGTGTATATAAATATAGCTGCGAGCAGCGATGAATGGGCCAAAGCCGGCGGCACCGCCACCCCGGTTATAGCGCCACCAACTGGCAGCAGGAAGTCTGTCACTTTCAAAAAGCTTTGAAATCACCTGATTGCTTCAAACTTCACTACTATGATGTAAACACACGGCAGATGTAGACCTGGATGTAGACCTGACCTTTCAGAAGGTTGCTCTCGCATACTTTGTGGTTGACATGTGCCCTCAATGCACACTTTTGCAGAGCCCACACTGATACAAGCTCTACAGCACACTTCTTTTCGACAGTCAAAGCAGGGTTACGTTTTTGCACGTCGTGCACAATAACCCTAAAGGCACCAGGGTGGCGGTGCCACCGGCTTTATATATATATATATATATATATATATAAATAAATATAGCTGCGAGCAGCGATGAAGGGCCAAAGCCGGTGGTACCGCCACCCGGTGCCTTTAGGTAACTAAAGGCACCGGGGTTGCGGTGCCACCGGCTTGGGCCCGTAATCGCTGCTCGCAGCTATATTTTAAGTTGTTTCCACTGTTGATGGGAAAATGTAAGTGTTCGCGGCCGCGCCTCCGTGCCATGCAGTGCGCGCTCACACTCCCACACACATTTGCGTCAAAATCTTGTGTTTATTTGTGATAATCTTAGCCCTGTATTATGACTGACATTTGACGAATTTCTTTGTTCCTTTTTTGGATAAAACCGCCTTCTAAATATGTAGCCTAAATGTAGGCTAATAATAATATTATTATTATCATTTGCGTTGAGTTCACTGAAGACAGTAATATGTTAATCATAAAATAATTTATGAATGTTTTATTTTTATATAACCTAACCTTGTGTTTGTGTTATATTTCTTTTTTATATGTGAAGTCTTTTTTTGCTTATTCTATTATACTGAGCTTTTTCCTCCTAAAAAATTGAAAAGTGGCCTAAATGTCGTTTAGAAAATTCATGTATTTAACATCCTCAGTAAAATATAAAACATAAAAATGACAATAGCCAATTCTGGCTCCATAGCTGTTTACTCAATTATAACAAATTAATGATCAGGACGGCAGCTCCATCTCGCACTGTTGCTTGGCGCCATGGAGTGGTAATCGGGAACACCTGGATGCGCAATTAGGAAATCCTACGGAGGCTACAAGGTGCGTCCTTCGAAGGACAAATAGGCTGCATCCTTCGAAGTCCGCGGCCTTCGGAGGATGCAGCCTTCACATTGGGACACAGCTCATGTCTGGAACTGAAGCATCTTTGCACCACTTCTGGCCACATTACCTCTTGCGGTCTGGGCATGTACCACACAAGATTCGAACACACAACCTGAATGGTTCGGGGCTCGTGGCACATGGTTTAGCAGCTTGCGCCACTCAGTTGACGCTGACTTACCAAACTGCTGAGAAGAGGCTTCAGTGTAAGAATTAGCACACAAAAGCATGTTAATCAGATTAGCATGCTAAGCTATCTAAATGCTAATGAAGCTTATCGTTAAACTGATAGCTGAAGAGCCACAATGCATTCGTGAAGTGTAGCATTTAATATCATGATATTTTATTGTAATAAATGGCAATGTCCTTGTTTTGTTATATTATAGCGCCACCAAGAGGTGCAGTTCCACCGCTTTTTTTATGTGTTCT